CTTTTACCATTAAAAATGGTGACATGATATCACTTGGTATTACCAAGCCCAACCATAGTCTTGTTACTTTTAATGTTGATATTTTGGTGAACTCATAATTCCTTTTTGTAATTACAAAAATCTTTACTAAGATGAGGTTGGTGTGATGGTGATAAATGCTTGGGTGTGGAGGGGGAGGGGGTATCTTCACTGTGTGGTGAAGGTTGGTGTGATGGTGACAAATGCTTGGGTGTGGGGAAGTGTTCTTCAGTGTGTGGTGAGCAGTTAGCAAAGAGTCATGATCAAGTGTTTTTGAGACTCTCACTGGTAACTTCTCTAATTTGATTACTTTTAACAATCTTTAGTCATGATGTTACCTCTTGGTACAGTTCCTCTGTTTCCCAGTTATATAGTTTTCTACACTTGTTAACTCAGCTTAACCCTTTGACTGTCGAGGTCGTATATATACGTCTTACGAGGTACCGTGTTTGACGTATATATACTCATAAATTCTAGCGGCTTCAGATCAAGAATATCCTGGAGCATGCAGTGCATAATAAGAAAAAAAACTCCGACCGTTTTTTTTTTTTAATTAACCCTTTCAGGGTCCATCCTGTAGATCTACGACTTTACGTTCAGGGTCCAAACCGTAGATCTACGCCAAAATTCTAGCGGCGCCAAATTTAGCACGAGAAGTCTGGTAGGCCTACATCTGAGAGAATGGGTCTGGGTGGTCAGTGTGCACACCATAGAAAAAATCTGGATGCCCGCATGGCATTGTGGGAATGCCAGCAAAGTAGCTTTGTTCATAGTGACTGGCGGCAAGGAAGCTCTCACTCCCCACTCACTCTCCGGGCGAATTCTGACTCTCCTCTTCACAACTTACAGTTCTAAGACTGATGGAAGTGGAGCTGAAGACGAATTCTATGGTTTTGAACCATATGGTACCATTGTGCCATATGGTACTATGGTACCATATGGTACAATGGTGCCATGTCATACAATGGTATCATATGGTACAATGGTATCATATGGTACAATGGTATCATATGGTACAATGGTACCATATGGTACAATGTGCCATATAGTACATTGTACCATATGGTACATTATGCCATATGGTACAGGGTACAGGGACCCTAATGGAAATAAGTCTCTCTGACTTTTTTGGGTTATCCTAGGTTCTCCAAACATATGCTGCTAAGTATGATATGCTATGTAACTTTATTTGTGTATAACTAAATAAACTTACTTATGATGCCACATGCACTTGAGTAAGTTTATTCAGGTGTACAGAAATACAATTACATAGATTATCATACATAGCAGCATACGTATAAAATCTTAGGATAACCCAAAAAAGTCAGGGTGACTTATTTCAATAGTTATCCCTGTGTCTGTACCATATGGTGTCCTGTACTGTATGGTACCCTGTACCATATGGTACCCCTGTACCATATGGTAACCCTGTACCATATGGTACCCTGTACCACATGTTATCCTGTACTGCATGGTACCCTATACCATATAGTACAGTGTACCATATGGTACCCTGTAACATATGATACCGTGTACCATATGGTCAATAGGTGTTGGTGGCATGAGACACCAGCCAAGACTGAGTGAGTGGCGACGCAAGCTAGCTACTACTGACTCCGCAGTTTCCGAGACAAAGTGCTTTGTCATCCACCTCAAGGAACACGTCAGGTTCCTGTACACTTGTAAATATATAATAGAACATTTCTAATATACAACATTTTTGCATATTTTTGTTGTAAACAACTATTGTAAACAAAATAATAATGAAAATATTAGTGTTTATTAACTAAACCATACCCCGGCCGGGATTGAACCCGCGGTCAGAGAGTCTCAAAACTCCAGCCCGTCGTGTCATTACGATTTCGTGAGTCAGTAGTGTTTATTGTGTTGAATACAACAGTACCATATGGTACAATGAACGATATGGTATCATTGTACTGTATGGTGCAATGTACCATATGGTACCATTGCATCATATGGTACCATATGGTACCATTATACCATAAGGTACCAATGCACCATATGGTACCATTGTATCATATGGTACCATTGTACCAAATAGTGCCATTGTACCATATGGTACCATTGTACCATATGGCACCATTGTATCATATGGTACCATTGTATCATGTGCCATATTGTACCATATGGTACCATTGTATCATATGGTGTCATTGTACCATATAGTACAATTGCACCCTATGGCACCATTGTACTATATGGTACCGTTGTATTCAACACAATAACCGCACTAATATTTTCATTATTTTGTTTACAATAAACTTGTAAACAAGTTTTGTAAGCAATATAATGATAAACAAATTAGTGCACTTATTGCGTGGAATACAATGAGTGTACACTAATACAATATACATTATACTGGTCTCACAGGCCACAAATGTTATTAGAAAAAGAAAAAATAGAAAAGAAAAGAAAAAAGTATAAAAAACGCAAAATAAAAACATGGGATTTTGCTGAAGTCACTGATGTTGGCGCCACCCGGTCATTTTGGGTCGACTTCCCGCCGCTGTATCTTGGTAAGTACTGATCAGAAATTTTTGTTTTTTTTGTCTTATTACCTTCACAAAAATATACTCTTTAATTCTGTAAGAAAAAATAATTTTTTTTTTTTTTTTTTTTTTTTTTCAAAATTTCTTGGACACTGGAGCACCACTTCAGATTTTGGCCCTGGACCCCGTAAGGGTTAAAATGCCGACTTTGTGGTCTATTTTCGTATAGTATTTATGGTTGTATTCTCATTTTTTTTTTTGGTCTCATTTCATAGAATGGAAAACATATTATAGAAATAGAGGTGATTTTGATTGATTTTACTATAAAAAAGACCTGGAAATGGAGCTCAAAGTAAGGAAAATGTTTGATTTTTGCTAAGATAAGATAAGATAAGATTTCGTTTGGATTTTTAACCCCGGAGGGTTAGCCACCCAGGATAACCCAAGAAAGTCAGTGCGTCATCGAGGACTGTCTAACTTATTTCCATTGGGGTCCTTAATCTTGTCCCCCAGGATGCGACCCACACCAGTCGACTAACACCCAGGTACCTATTTGCTGCTAGGTGAACAGGACAACAGGTGTAAGGAAACGTGTCGAAATGTTTCCACCCGCCAGGAATCGAACCTGGGCCCTCCATGTGTGAAGCGGGAGCTTTAGCCACCAGGCCACCGGGCCCTGCTGATGTTCAAAAGTAAACAAATGATGTCATTGTCCAATAAATGTCCAACTAGCCATTCTAATATGCAGTCATGAATGGGTTGATGTTATTTATACAATTATTACAATATTGCAATAGTCTGCATAACAGTAAATCTTCTATTTTTTGTCTGAATAAAAATTCAAAAGAGAAATCAAGAGTAATATCATAGGGGCCTGGAGATGTGACTGATGAACAAAGAACATGTTATTTTAGAGCCAGGAATGTCTGCATTTTTCATTCTGGACCTTATTTTGAAATTGTCATATTTTTTAATTTTCATGAAATTGGCCAAATTGCAAATTTCTGACCATGTTATTGGGTAGTTGAAATCATTAAATGGGCAGTTTCTTGTACTCAATCAATGGAAAAAATGGAGTTCTAAAGAAATAGCTATGAGTTTGGTCGACTGGAACAATGGAATTAGCCGAAAATAGGGCTCAAAATGGGCGAAATCACCGATTTGTAAATATCGCAGAGGTCACTAACTTCGCGAGAGCGTAATTCCATCAGTTTTCCATCAAATTTCGTGTTTTTGGTATCATTACAATCGGGAAAAGATTCTCTATCATTTCATAAGAAAATTTTTTTTTTTTTTTTGAAACTTTGCGACACCAGGAGACACTTCAGGATTGGGGTTGCGACATTCAAGGGATTAAGACCACACAAACAGTCTTCCACACTTGTTACACTCAGCTTAAGACCACACAATCCCTCTTCCACATAAGCAGTCTTATGTGGAAGAGGGCTGAAAGTTGGCAGTCTAGAACAAGCCAATGATTCACAAACACAAATAAAATTTATTTCTTTGCAAGATTACATTGAGATTATGAAGTTACAATAATGAGTTGCAGCAGAAAGAGAGCCATTATCATGCCAGGGCATTATGGGCAGACTTAATTTAATGGCTTACAGACTACTTAATACTAAAGAAATTGATCATAATTTGTTTAAGTTGCACATCTTTTTTATATTTATAGTTGACAGTAATTTTACTCTAATTACAATAGTTTCAAAAATAAATATTGAAATTATATTATGGGAATATAACATTGTGAGTTGTTGAAAGTAGTTTACAGTATGAGAATGCTACAAATTGAGTGTAAGGCAGTATTGTTTTGGGTAATAGGTAACTGGGAGATTTTTGGTAAAGTTAAATATTAAGTATTGAGTATTTAGTTTAGCGTCAGTAGGTGGCTTTTGAGAAGAGCCTTAAATTGGTGTTCAGGCCTGGTTACTTTAATATTTACTGGTAATGAATTCCAAATTTTGGGGCCCTTTATGTGCATAGAGTTTTTACATATGAAGATATGGACATGGGGTACATCAAAAAAAGATTTGTTTTGTGTTGTGGTTGTGTGTCCTGTTAAGGTTGGTGAGGAGATGTTTGAGTGGAGGGTTTATGTTTGAGTGTAGTGTTCTATGTATGTAGCAGGCACATGAATAAGTTTACATGTTCTTAATGGTGAGCAGTTTTAGACTTTTGAGTATTGGTGGAGTATGCTGTCAGGAGTGGGAATTTGTTATCATTCTGACTGCAGCCTTTTGCTGGATTAATAGTGGTCATAGGTGATTTAATGTTGTTGATCCCCATGCACAAATTTCACTACACCACTTAGAGTAGTGTACCACTTTTGTGGCTGGATGTTACTTGACCTTTACTCAGCTGTGTTGGTGTTTTTTCACTTTGTTGTTTACCTTGTTCATCATGTTGACCTTGTTATTCACCTCATTCACCTTGTTGACCACATTGTTGATGATCACTTTGTTGCAGGTGGTTAAGAATATAGGAGGAGAGAGAGAGAAGGCCAGCAGAGGAAAGAAGAGAGCAGCTAGCTGTTACAACCCCTGGAGTGAACATGATCTCTCAGATAAGAACATAGCTGACAGCACTGAGGCTCTCATTGGTGCCTACCTGCTAGCTGCTGGTGCTGACACTGCTGTCAACTTTATGCACAACCTTGGTCTTGGTGTATATAATGTGAGTACTGTGCACCATGTATGCTAGTATGTAATGTGAGAGTAGAATGTAATGTAAGTACTGTGCACCATATACAGTAGTATGTAATGTAAGTACTGTGCACCATGTACAGTAGTATGTAATGTAAGTACTGTGCACCATGTACATTAGTATGTAATATAAGTACTGTGCACCATGTACAGTAGTATGTAATATAAGTACTGTGCACCATGTACATTAGTATGTAATATAAGTACTGTGCACCATGTACATTAGTATGTAATATAAGTACTGTGCACCATGTACATTAGTATGTAATATAAGTACTGTGCACCATGTACAGTAGTATGTAATATAAGTACTGTGCACCATGTACAGTAGTATGTAATGTAAGTACTGTGCACCATGTACATTAGTATGTAATATAAGTACTGTGCACCATGTACAGTAGTATGTAATATAAGTACTGTGCACCATGTACATTAGTATGTAATATAAGTACTGTGCACCATGTACATTAGTATGTAATATAAGTACTGTGCACCATGTACAGTAGTATGTAATATAAGTACTGTGCACCATGTACAGTAGTATGTAATATAAGTACTGTGCACCATGTACATTAGTATGTAATATAAGTACTGTGCACCATGTACAGTAGTATGTAATATAAGTACTGTGCACCATGCAGTACATGCTTTTGCAATACTTGAAAATGAATGTAAATGAGAAATGAAATGAAATGAAAATGTTTATTTCCTTGCCAAGCTTACAATGTGTGGTTTACATATTATAAAATATTAATTCCAAAGAAGGCCTCTAGCATGCCTAGGCATTTAGGGCAGACTAATCCTCATTCTTACTCTAAATTGACACAGGTTATGGAGCAGTACATTTTAACCCCTTGACTGTCGCAACCCCCAATCCTGAAGTGTCTCCTGGTGTTGCAAAATTTAAAAAAAAAAAAAAAAAAATTCTTATGAAATGATAGAGAATCTTTTCCCGATTGTAATGACACCAAAAAAATGAAATTTGATGGAAAACTAATGGAATTATGCTCTCACGAAGTTAGCGTCCTCGGCGATACATATACAAATCGGCGATTTCGCCCACTTTGAGCCCTATTTTCAGCTAATTCCATTGTTCCAGTCGATCTAGCTCATAGCTACTTCTTCAGAACTCCATTTTTTCTATCGATTGAGTACAGTGGAACCTCAAAAATCGAACGTATCACATATCGAACATTTCGAAAATAGGACCATTTTTTCGGACAAACTGTGTCCCTATTTTCGGACGCGCCCCTATTTTCGGACGTGCCCCTATTTTCGGACCGCCGGGTATGGGACCTTTCTGCTGCCTGCTCTGTCCGCGTCCCTGCGCAGGCGCCGTGAGCAGTCTAGCTTTGTTTATGCTTGAGTGAACACTAACCTGCGCTCTCATTCACGCATTTTACGATTATTTCGTTGCATTTAGTGCTTGTGGGACTGTGAAATAAGCTGCCATGAGCCCAAAGAAACTTGCTAGTGGTACCCCTGTGGTAAAGAAAGTGAGAAACACTATAGATGTGAAGAAGGAAATAATACAGAAGTATGAGAGTGGTAGACTTGTTGAGCTTGCCAGGATGTATGGGAAAAACAAGTCGATCATCGGTTCTATCCTGTCAAAGAAAGAACAAATCAAGGAAGCTGATGTTGCGAAAGGTGTTAATATAGGGAGTGGATGAGGTGCCTTCTTCAAAGATTAAAGAGATTTGTGCCAAGTGGAATGATGTCCAAATGTTTGTGCAGAAGTACCACCCTGAGCAAGCTGAAACAAGCCATCTTTGCAACAAGTTCTGTGACAGAACCATGTCCCATTTTAGGGAAATGTTAAAGAGGCGCCAGAAACAGAGGACTGTGGACAGTTATTTTGTGAGACAGGGATCCAGTGACTCTCAAGCTGGTCCTAGTGGCATTAAAAGACAGAGAAGGGAAGTAACCCCAGAGAGGGTTTTACCTGAAGTCCTCATGGAGGGGGATTCTCCTTCCAAACACTAACCCCAACTCCCTCTCTCCTCCTCCCTATCTTCCAGATGCCATCACCAATCTTCAATAAAGGTATGTAAAATGTTATTTTATATGTATTACTATACATAATTAAAAACTATAGTATTTGTTGTATGTAAAACTGTAATCTCTATAAAATGTATTTTTTTGCGAATATTTTTGGGTTTCTGGAACGGATTAATCGTATTTCCATTATTTCTTATGGGAAATATTGCTTCGAATTTCAGACTTTTCGAATTTAGAACTAGCTCCTGGAACGGATTAAGTTCGATTTTTGAGGTTCCACTGTACAAGAAACTGCCCATTTACCGATTTCAACTACCTAATAACATGGTCTGAAATTTGTAATTTGGCCAATTTCACGAAAATTAAAAAAATATGACAATTTCAAAATAAGGACCAGAATGAACAATGCAGACATTCCTGGCTCTAAAATATCATTTTCTTTGTTCATCAGTCATGTCTCCAGGCCCCTGTGATATTACTCTTGCTTTCTATTTTGAATTTTTATTCAAACAAAAAATAGAAGATTTGCTGTTATGCAGACTACTGCAATACTGTAATAATTGTATAAATAACATCAACCCATTCATGACTGCATATTAGAATGGCTAGTTGGACATTTATTGGACAATGACATGATTTGTTTACTTTTGAACATCGGCAAAAATCAAACATTTCCCGTACTTTGAACTCCATTTCCAGGTTCTTTTTATAGTAAAATCAATCAAAATCATCTCTATTTCTATAATATATTTCCCATTCTATCAAATGAAACCAAGAAAACGAGAATACAACCATAAATACTATAAGAAAATAGACCACAAAGTCGGCATTTTAATTAAAAAAAAACGTTCTGTTTTTTTTTTCTCATTATGCACTGCGTACTCCAGGATTTTTTTTATATGGTGAACACTGACCACACAGACCCATTCTCTCACATGTGGGCCTACCAGCTTTCTTCTGCTTGATTTGAAGCTGCTAGAATTTGTGAGTATATATACGTCAAACACGGTACCTCGTAAGATGTATATATACAGCCGCAACAGTCAAAGGGTTAATATACCTTATTGCATATTAGGTAACAGAAAAGTCTTGGCATGATACACTGTTTCGATTAAAGCTCCTATATTGGGAGAGTATCTTAGGCAAACTTAACCCCTTCAGGGTCCAAGGCCCAAATCTGAAGTGGTGCCCCAGTGTCCAAGAATTTTCAAAAAAAAAAAAATTTGTTATTTTTTCTTATGAAATGGTAGAGAATCTTTTTGTGAAGGTAATAAAACAAAAAGTACGAAATTTGATGGAAAATTGACGAAATTATGCTCTCGCGAATTTTGATGTGTCAGCGATATTTACGAATCAGCGATTTTGCCGACTTTGACTCCCATTTTAGGCCAATTACATTATTCCAGTCAACCAAATTCTTAGGTATTTCACTAGTATTTCTTCTATTCTATCGATTGAGCACAAGAAATCGCCAAGTCAACTGTTTCAACTACAAATTAAAGTGATTGGAAATTGTTAAATTTGGCCAATTAACACAAAGTTCAAAATATTCCAATTTCAAAATAGGGTCCAGAATAAACAATGTAGGTATTCCTGGAACTAAACTAACATTTCCTATGTTCATTAGTTACATTTTGAGGCTTTACAAATAAATTCCATTTTGATTTTTTATTCACATAATGTATTTTTATTCACACCAAAAAATAGAAGATTTACTGTTGTGCAATACTGTAATAATTGTATAAATATCATCACCATATTTGTGAATGCATATTAGACCCTCTAGCTGGCGTGTATTAGACGTGTGAGGTCGTTTGTTTACTCTTGAATATCGGCAAAAATTTTACATTTCTGCTACTTTGAGCTCAGTTTCAAGCCATTTCCAATGCTGAAACCAATCAAAATCATCTCTGTTTCTGTAATATGTCTTCCATTCTATCAAATGAGACCAAGAAATCGCAAATACAACTATAAAAAACCTACGAAAAAACACTGCAAAGTCGCTGTTTTAATCGAAAAATCATGATTTCAGTTTTTTTTTCTCTCATTATACACAGTGTGCTGCAGGATCTGTTTTATGTGGTGCACACATACCACATAAATGTATTCTCTCATATCTAGGCCCAAATGTACCACTCACAGTTTATCAGAGTGAGCTGAGCTCATGGCGTAGATCTACGGTTTGGACCCTGAATGTACAGCCGTAGATCTACGGGACGGACCCTGAAGGGGTTAAGATTTATTAGGCAGTAGCTTTATTATCAGTTTTATGTTTACAGTCATTTTGGTGAATGTAAGTGTAAATTAGGGAGAATCACAGATATCGAGAGTAAATCTAATTTGTTTTGGATGTGTGCATAATACGATAAAGAGACTAGGTGGTTTTCGTATAGTTAGCTGTTGGTGTGTGTGTGTTAGGGAGATAAGATGATTTTTAATGGTAGTTTTGAAAATGGTGGTTAAGTCTGCAGGTCTAGAACTTTCTGGCAGGGAGTTACAGATTTTAGGCCCTTTTATGTACGTACATTGAATTTTTGTAGAGATTTAGCTGGACACGGGGAATGTCAGAGATTTTTGTATCTGGTATTATGTCTGTGGGTCCTGTTGCAACTACAGTGAGACCTTTACTTGCGAGTTTAATCCGTTCCATGACCTTGCTCGCATCTGGATTTGCTCGTTTGCAGAGTCAATTTTCCTCATCTAAATTAATTAAAATGGAATTATTCTGTTCCAGTGGAATTCTGTACTTCAATAATTTCCCTAATATCAACTCTACGGCTTATTTATGTATCACAATTCAACTAATATGACATAATAACCAATATAAATAACATGGAAACCTGATATATACTCTAGAATGAATAAAATGTCATTATGTGACAAGTGGAGGCGGCCATGACCGCTCCCACATTGTTGTGGTATTCACTGCCATCTAGTGATGGCCTTTTGAAGCTATTATTATAATTATAGTATACATTATACTTATGCATTTATTAT